ACCCCGCCCACCACCACCACCACCACTCCACCTGCCATCAAGAGGGATGGGGACTATGGAGAGAGCTTGCAGGGAGAGGGCAAGGTGAGAAGTGCCTCCAGCAGTGGGTTGGGAAAATGAAACCAAACCTACCCCAATCCACACACTAGCGGGCGGAGGAGAGCCAACAGAGCAGGAAGAGTGCAAAGAAGGTGGGGCAGTAAGGAGGAATAGTACTTTGCCCACCCTTGTTTTTGTAAGTCTTTGAGCTTTTTCTTGCCAAACTAATGTTCTTTTGGAAGCTATGTGGACAGAGATTAGCTGAGCATTTCCTAGTTATTAAATGTTTGGATTTGGTGTTTTTCCCAGAAGGCAAAGGGACAAGTAACTCTTTGCAACAAGAATTTTAACTGCACGTTAATTTTAAAAGTGAAATGCTAATTTGTAATTAAGTCTTATTTTCTTCTTTTACAGTCAAAGAGGTTATTATTAAATTAATATTAAAATTTTTTGCAAGTACCATATTTGGATTTTTGAGTTCAAGACTGATTATATATTGGCTGTCTCATATCTTCAATGATGGGTTAACTGAAGTAATTCTGAGTTTCTCAATGACATACATGATTTTCTTCATTGGTAAGATAAGGACTAACAGTGTCCCTACTAATTCAACAACAAAAAAATGAACATGATTTTCTGAGTTTTTTATGCATATTCAAATAAACTTGTATTTACTGGCAGAGAATGTAGAATTACAGTAACATTAACCTAGCCATGTTTGACCTTTCTTTAACATTATAAACAGAAACACGGTAAATTAAATATTTAACAATAGACCTAGGAATAAATACTAATTAAAAAATGTATGTGACAATCATAGAACACTAGAACTGGAAGGGACCTCGAGAGGTCATCAAATCCAGTCCCCTGCCCTCATGGCAGGACCCAGCACTGTCTTTAGACCATCCCCGATAGATGTCTATCTAACCTTCTCTTAAATATCTCCAGAGATGGAGATTCAACAACCTCCGTAGACAACTTATTCCAGTGATTCATCACCCTGACAATTAGGAAGCTTTTCCTAATGTCCAACCTAAACCTCCCTTGCTGCAGTTTAAGCCCGTTGCTTCTTGCCCTATCCTCAGAAGCTGAGAACAATGTTAGTACTATATTGAGAGCCTTATATTTTGTTGTTTGACTTGAATTTGACCTTTTTAGCTTTAATATTACATTAAAGCATCTTGTATTTATATAGAATTTCTTATTTGTCTGCTTGTAAATTCAAGTGTCTTAGTTACCATGAGTCCAGTTTTGCGGGGTAGAGAGGAATTGAAACGAATAAATGGAAAAACTTTAAACAATTTAAAAAATTTAAGCACTGCAGGTTAATAAATGAAAGTTTTACTGTTCTCATAGTTATGTTACCAAGGCTATGTTGTACATATTTTAAATGTATTATACAAGTTTAAGAAAAATAGTTATATATTAAACTATATTCTTTTTAAAAGAAAAAAGATTACAAAATATGATATATGGTGTTTGCAATAGGGATGTTAAATATCAATTAATTGAATAGTCGAGTAACCTCATGAATTCTTATTAGTTAAATGACTATGCTATAGTTCCTAGGAGCAGGACTGGCAACCAATGCACTCCAGCCTCATTCCCAAGGAGCTTCCTGCCACTCCATGCTGCTGCTAGGTGGGAGCTGGTTCATGAGGGGAGCCAACTTTTTGAAAACCAGCCCCCTTTGTGGACCCACTGCCTGTTGCCCTTTGCTGCAGCCCCTATCTAGGGTGGTCTGAGCTCCTGGACCTGTTGCGAGGTAGAACTGAACTGGGCTTCCTGCAGCCTATTTTCTAATACACTTTAAATGCAGAGCTACAGCAAGAGTAGGTCCTGAAGCTGTCGTAAACCAGAAATGAGTGGGGCTGCTGGCTAGCCTGCTAAAAAATTTACTGGCGGGAAGGAGAGGGAAATGCGTGTAACCGGTAGCATTAACCTATGAGCTTTTGCTCATCAGTTAATCGACTACTCTCTTAAGATCCCTAGTTTGCAAAATAGCCACATAAAGTTTTCAGTGTAAATAAATAGCCTCACGTGGACAGTCAGTATATTGCATACCACTTCTTTTTTGCTTAAATCAGTTTTGGAGAGAAATAAGTAGACAATGAAACTGTACAATTTAGATTTGAGGCTCAAGCTTTCTCTGGTTTTGCTGGGCTTCAAATAAGGTGGATAAGGTGGTGCTCCTGAGTAGGAGTCTTTCTCTTGCATCAGATCTCTCAACTATAATACATAGTGCTCTCAGCGGTAGTTCAAAGCTTCAGCCTCTCTAAAATGGGTTTCTTCATATTCAAGACATAAAAAGGCCACATAATGTTATATAAATAAAACATAGCATCTTGGGGTTCGTGACAATTTGTTCATTTATTCTGAGAGCCTACAAAAATTTTTTACCTGCGAATCATAATGTGTAAGTGATATGTACCTGAAGCATTATAAATACACTATAGACACACATTTTTGTAAAACATCTTTTCTCAAAGATGTTTTAAAACTTTTGATTTTGAGAAATTTCCTGCCTTTCTATTGTTGATGGAATAGTGCACACATCCCCTTAAGTTAAAGATTGACATTACCCATTCAGAGAAGAGAGAGGTTTTCTTATTTCTAAAGAGCTGACAAGTTCATTATTCTATTGTACTGATGTTTGCACTTTTAGCGGGCCTATTCATTGTTGTTTTGTTTCTGAAATATTTTACATTGAGGCCAGTCACCTTTTCTATGTGTATCTTTAAGTTTTTCTTTCTGTCTTCTTATCATAGGCAGGGCCCGACAATTAACCTGTAACGAGTAGATTTTAGCCTGGCGTGGCCACGCAGCACGGTCTGTGCATGTGCAGCGCGCGGTAGCTCGTGACTGGCGAGCGAGGCTCGCCGCTGCTTGGTGAGCTCTGATCATAGGTTAAGTTCTTCACTCCAGCCAAACTTTGGTGTGATTCTTCTTTAATAATATCTGACTCCAACTAGGGATGTTAAATATCAGTTAATTGAATAGTCGATTCACCTCATGAATTTTTGTGGGTTACTCAACTATTCTCTAGTACCCGGAGGCAGAGCCAACAGCCAGTGTGCACTGGCTCCACTCCTGAGAAGCCCCCTGCCACTCAACACTGCTGCCACTGTATCATGGGGGGCCAGGCGAGAGCTGGTCCGCAAGGGTAAAAACCAGCTCCCTTTGTGGACCATCTTCCTTTTGCCCTGCACTGCTGCCTCTGATACAGGGGCATCAGCCCCTGTCCAGGGGAGGTCTGAGCTCCTGGACCTGGCGCAAGCCGGGACTGAGCTGTGCTGCCTGCCTGTCTGCCTAGCACTTTAAATGCAGAGCTGCACCAAGGGTAGGTCCTGAACCTATTGCATGCCAGGACTGAACTGGGCTGCTGGCAAGCCTGCTAAAAAAATTACTGGTGGGCTGGAAGGGGGAGAAATGTGTGTAGTTTATAGCATTAATCTATAAGTTTTTGCTTATTGGTTATTTGGTTAATCAACTATTCTATTACATTCCTAACTTGAACAAAGTACCTCTCCACTCTCAACTTAGACTGTGAATTAAATAACAATTATGAGTGAGGTTGCTAGATCACCACCTGAATTTGTGGCCAGAAGTTCTTGCATTTCACTAATCATTTCTGCTTGTTCAAGTATAATTTAAGCAAAATTGTCCTTTGGTTAGAGACTGACATTGTCCGTTACAGAAATATTCTTTGCTAGTAGGAAAGTAATTTATTTAAATTGAAAATTATGCACTGTACATTTTTTACATAGAAAGATGATATTCTTTGTTGGGCGATTTCCCTGTGAATGCTCTATCTCAGGTGTATGTATATCCCTGCATCATTGATTGGAGAATTTCAGCAACAGTGTCTGTCTCGGTTGTGCCTGCATATGACTGTCTCATGGCACAGTTGTCATCTCATCTATTGTTAGCCTGAGACAGAGCTCCGCAGTGGTGTCCCAACTAGGGATGTTAAATATCGGTTAATTGAATAATTGCCTATCCTAATTCATTCTTATTGCTTAGATGACTATTCCATAATTCCTGAGGGACGTGGCTGGCAGCCATTGTGCTCCGGCCTCACACCTGAGGAGCCCTTGCCGCTCTGCACTGCTTCCTATGCTTCAGGATGCCAGGTGGGAGCTGGTCTATGAAGGGAGACAGTTTAAAAACCAGCTCCCCTTGTGGGCCAGCTGCCTGTCACCATGAGCTGCTTCCTCTGATAAAGATGCAGCAGAGTGGGGTCTGAGCTCCCGGACCTGGCAGTTGCTTCTTGCCCTATCCTCAGAAGCTGAGAACAATGTTAGTACTATATTGAGAGCCTTATATTTTGTTGTTTGACTTGAATTTGACCTTTTTAGCTTTAATATTACATTAAAGCATCTTGTATTTATATAGAATTTCTTATTTGTCTGCTTGTAAATTCAAGTGTCTTAGTTACCATGAGTCCAGTTTTGCGGGGTAGAGAGGAATTGAAACGAATAAATGGAAAAACTTTAAACAATTTAAAAAATTTAAGCACTGCAGGTTAATAAATGAAAGTTTTACTGTTCTCATAGTTATGTTACCAAGGCTATGTTGTACATATTTTAAATGTATTATACAAGTTTAAGAAAAATAGTTATATATTAAACTATATTCTTTTTAAAAGAAAAAAGATTACAAAATATGATATATGGTGTTTGCAATAGGGATGTTAAATATCAATTAATTGAATAGTCGAGTAACCTCATGAATTCTTATTAGTTAAATGACTATGCTATAGTTCCTAGGAGCAGGACTGGCAACCAATGCACTCCAGCCTCATTCCCAAGGAGCTTCCTGCCACTCCATGCTGCTGCTAGGTGGGAGCTGGTTCATGAGGGGAGCCAACTTTTTGAAAACCAGCCCCCTTTGTGGACCCACTGCCTGTTGCCCTTTGCTGCAGCCCCTATCTAGGGTGGTCTGAGCTCCTGGACCTGTTGCGAGGTAGAACTGAACTGGGCTTCCTGCAGCCTATTTTCTAATACACTTTAAATGCAGAGCTACAGCAAGAGTAGGTCCTGAAGCTGTCGTAAACCAGAAATGAGTGGGGCTGCTGGCTAGCCTGCTAAAAAATTTACTGGCGGGAAGGAGAGGGAAATGCGTGTAACCGGTAGCATTAACCTATGAGCTTTTGCTCATCAGTTAATCGACTACTCTCTTAAGATCCCTAGTTTGCAAAATAGCCACATAAAGTTTTCAGTGTAAATAAATAGCCTCACGTGGACAGTCAGTATATTGCATACCACTTCTTTTTTGCTTAAATCAGTTTTGGAGAGAAATAAGTAGACAATGAAACTGTACAATTTAGATTTGAGGCTCAAGCTTTCTCTGGTTTTGCTGGGCTTCAAATAAGGTGGATAAGGTGGTGCTCCTGAGTAGGAGTCTTTCTCTTGCATCAGATCTCTCAACTATAATACATAGTGCTCTCAGCGGTAGTTCAAAGCTTCAGCCTCTCTAAAATGGGTTTCTTCATATTCAAGACATAAAAAGGCCACATAATGTTATATAAATAAAACATAGCATCTTGGGGTTCGTGACAATTTGTTCATTTATTC